AGGAACTGGTTCAAGACCATCTTAAAAATCTGAACATGCACAAATCCATGGGACCTGATGAGATCCATCTGCGGGTCCTGAAGGAGCTGGCAAATGAAGTTGCAAAGCCGCTGGCCATCATATTTGAAAAATCATGGCAGTCAGGTGAAGTTCCTGACGACTGGAAAAAGGGAAATATAACCCCCATTTTCAAGAAGGGGAAAATGGATGACCCGGGGAACTACAGAGCAGTCAGTCTCACCTCTGTGCCTGGTAAAATCTTGGAGCAGATTCTCCTGGAAGGCATGCTAAGGCACAAGATAATCAACAAGGTGCTTGGTGACAGCCAGCCTGGCTTCAGTAAGGGGAAATCCTGCCTGACCAATTTGGTGGCCTTCTATGAGGGAAATACAGAACCGATGGACAGGGATAGATCAGTTGATGTCATCTGCCTGGACTTGTGCAAAGCGTTCGACACTGTCCCACACGACATCCTTGTCTCTAAATTGGAGACACATCAATTTGATGGATGGACCACTCGGTGGATAAAGAACTGGCTGGATGGCCGCACGCAAAGAGTTGTGGTCAATGTTTCAATGTCCAGCTGGAGACCAGTAACGAGTGGTGTCCCTCAGGGATTGGTGTTGGGACCGGTCTTGTTCAACATGTTCGTTGCTGACATGGACAGTGGGATTGAGTGCGCCCTCAGCAAGTTTGCTGATGACACCAAGCTGTGTGGTTTGGTTGATACCCTGGAGGGAAGGAATGCCATCCAGAGGGACCTTGACATGCTTGTGAGGTGGGCTGATGCCAACCTCATGAAGTTTAACCATGCCAAGTGCAAGGTCCTACACCTGGGCTAGAGCAATCTCAGGCACAGCTACAGGTTTGGCAGAGAAGAGATTCAGAGCAGCCCTGCAGAGAAGGACTTGGGGGTGTTGGTTGATGAGGAAATGAACATGGGCCAGTAGTGTGCGCTCGCAGCCCCGAAAGCCACCCATATCCTGTGCTGCATCAAGAGGAGTGTGACCAGCAGGTTGAAGGAGGTGATCTCTGCTCTTGTGAGACCTCACTTGGAGTGTTGTGTGCAGTTCTGGTGTCCTCAACGTAAAAAGGACATGGAACTGTTGGAACAAGTCCAGAGTTGGCCCACGAGGATGATCGGGGGACTGGAGCATTCTGGGCCCCATATGAAGGCAGGCTGAGGAAGTAGAGGCTGTTCAGCCTGGAGAAGAGAAGGCTGCGTGGAGACCTCATAGCAGCCTTCCAGTATCTGAAGGGGGCCTATAGGGATGCTGGGGAGGGACTCTTCATTGGAGACTGTAGTGATAGGACAAGGGGTAACGGGTTAAAACTTAAACAGGGGAAGTTTAGATTGGCTATAAGGAGGAAATTCTTTCCTGTTAGGGTGGTGAGGCACTAGAATAGGTTGCCCAGGGAGGTTGTGAATGCTCCATCCCTGGCAGTGCTCAAGACCAGGTTGGACAAGGCCTTGGGTGATATGATTTAGCTTAAGGTGTCCCTGCCCACGGCAGGGGGGTTGGAACTAGATGATCTTAAGATCCTTTTCAACCCTAATTATTCTGTGATTCTATTCTATGATTCTATGTGCATTTTCTTTTTGAATCATTCTTTCAACATGTATGTAATGTCTGGCATTTACATACTAAAAGTGGCCCTGGTGTTACAACCTGCTTTTCTGGTTCTCCAGAAATCTTCCTCTCAGAGTTGTGAGGAACACCTAGAATTACTTACTCATGAGAAATGCTGGTGGGCAGAAGAATATTGATCTGAGGACATCCACAAATTTCTTGCTGGTGTTATTGCATAATAATATGTTGTTTAAGGCTTTTCTCCAACAGCTGTAGCCTTGTCTAGGGTCATGGCAATACCCCTGTCCTGGCCCTGGAGTACTAAAGAGAGAGCCAAAGCCAGACTCGTGCTGTCCTTGAGTGCTGTTCAACAGAGATGCTGGAACATGTGCATAGATGTTGGGTTGTGTGACATTTTGTATTAGGTATAATTTATATTGTGAAAAAAATGTTTCAGCTTGCTATATTTTAAGTACATGGGTTCAAATTTTCCCTAATGGGGATTTGCTGCAGCAGATTTCATTCTTTTTATTGTCTCTTTCTCTTGAAGTTCCTTTCAAAAAAGTTCTGGTTATTTTCAGTAAGCAGGTTTGAAAAGCAGCAGAAATAACCTTTTAACCCTATATAGGAGAACAAAGGAAATTTCTGGTACTTTATTCTTTGAAAAGCTCAAACATCCCTCTGCTTTGGAGCAAGGCATTTAGTAAAGAGGAGCTTTCTGTGCTTTCTGCCACCCTTGTGTTTCGCCAATTTGTGTGCCATTGGAAAACTGCAGTTTGAATGCTCACCCATAGTTATAGTAGAGAATGCTTGGATTTCACCAGCAGTGTTGCCTATGAGGAGCCTGAGTTTCCTCTCATGGGGTTTTCTCCCAGTTCTAACAGTGGCCACAGTGGGCTGGGCTGAGCGCAGGGATGGTGTCTCAAAGCGTTTGTCCCCACGTGATCTCAAGGGAGTGAGTCCTTGGCGAGCTCCTGCAGCCTGAAGAAGGAGACTGGGACTAGGATGAGGACACTTTGAATAAGGGCTCTGGAGTGGAGAATAGGACTGGTGTCTTCAGCACAAGATGAGCAAAGCACTGCACTGAGTGCCTCCATATGCACCAGTGGAAGAGCTGGAGCTGCTGGGACTGGCCAGGCAAATGCCTAAGGGTGAGATGAAGAAGGTATCCTGGCTTTGCATGGAAAGTCTTGTAATCTTAATATAATGTTATTTTAATGAAGTTTTTTTTTATAGGGAACACTGAGAGCATTGATAAAAATTCTTGGACTTTATGCTCTTCAGCGACGAAGAGTGTGCATGAAATCACACTGAGTGCCAGGACTCTGCCCTTGGTCAGAGGCTTCAGTACACTGAAAAAGACCCAAAGCATTATTCTGCATATATCTGTGGAAGCAAAAAAAGCACTAGTGAAAGATCTGTAATGTGGCCCTTAAAGTCTGAAGCAAAATTTATCTACCTTCAAAAATGTTTGTTTGACTAATACTCCTGAAAGTAACAGCTTTGGTTTGTTTTTTTAAATTTACATTTTATTATGTAACTTTGTGTATCAGCAGCAGTATTTATTTTTTTTATCTCCTCTTGACTAATTTTAGGACCAACCTTATAAGTTAAAAAAAAAAAAAAGTGTTATTTTTTACCATGTCAGTATTTGGATGTCTTTATTAAAATTGCTGATACACTGCTGTACTGTCAGACTGTTCATAAAATTTTGCTTAATGTTTAGAGCAAGAACTTTGCAGAAATTTGTTGCTTAATTTTTATTTTCATCTATCAGGGAATACAGCCATGGGAGCAAATCCTTATTTTAGAACATCCCAACAAAATCCACACAACTGGATTTATTTTCTTTTTCCCCCAACAGTTTCAAATTATGTTGCAGTGATTGCATAGAACACTGCTTGTCTGGTTTGGAAACTAAAACATATAAGAAAGATCATTCCCGTTCAGTTATTGATATTTCATGTACATTAAATACTGAGATTCATTCATAGAATCATAGAATAGTTAGGGTTGGAAAGGACCTTAAGATCATCTAGTTCCAACCCCCCTGCCTTGGGCAGGGACACTTCCCACTAAATCATGTCACCCAAGGCTCTGTCCAACCTGGCCTTGAGCATCGCCAGAGATGGAGCATTCACAACTTCTCTGGGCAACCCATTCCAGTGCCTCACCACCCTTGCAGTAAAAATTTTCTTCCTTATACCCAATGTAGACTTCCCCTGTTTACGTTTGAACCCATTACCCCTTGTCCTACCACTACAGTCCTTAACGAAGAGGCCCTCCCCAGCATCCCTATAGCCCCCCTTCAGATACTGGAAAGCTGCTATGAGGTCTCCATGCAGCTTTCTCTTCTCCAGGCTGAACAGCCTCAACTTTCTCAGCCTGTCTTCATACAGGAGGTGCTCCAGTTCCCTGATCATCCTTGTGGGCCTTCTCTGGACTTGTTCCAACGGTTTTATGTTCTTTTTATGTTGAGGACACCAGAACTGCACACAATACTCCAGGTGAGGTCTCACGAGAGCAGAGTAGAGGGGCAGGATCACCTCCTTCAACCTGCTGGTCACGATCCTCTTGATGCAGCCCAGGATACAGTTGGCTTTCTGGGCTGCGAACGCACACTGCCGGCTCGTTCATTTTCTCATCGATCAACACCCCCAAGTCCTTCTCTGCAGGGCTGCTCTGAATCTCTTCTCTGCCCAGCCTGTAGCTGTGCCTGGGATTGCTCCAGCCCAGGTGTAGGACCTTGCACTTGTCATGGTTAAACTTCATGAGGTTGGCATCAGCCCACGTCACAAGTGTGTCAAGGTCCCTCTGGATGGCATTCCTTCCCTCCAGGGTATCAACCGAACCACACAGCTTGGTGTCATCGGCAAACTTGCTGGGGGTGCACTCAATCCCGTGTCCATGTCAGCGATGAAGATGTTGAACGAGACTGGCCCCAACACCAATCTCTGAGGAACACCACTCGTTACTGTTCTCCAGCCGGATATTGAGCCATTGACCACAACTATTTGCGTGCGGCCATCCAGCCAGTTCTTTATCCACCGAGTGGTCCATCCATCAAATTGATGTCTCTCCAATTTAGAGACAAGGATGACGTGTGGGACAGTGTCGACTGCTTTGCACAAGTCCAGGCAGATGACATCAACTGATCTATCCCTGTCCATCGGTTCTGTATTTCCCTCATAGAAGGCCACCAAATTGGTCAGGCAGGATTTCCCCTTAGTGAAGCCATGCTGGCTGTCACCAAGCACCTTGATGTTTTTCATGTGCCTTAGCATGCCTTCCAGGAGAATCTTCTCCAATATTTTGCCAGGCACAAAGGTGGGACTGAGTGTTCTGTAATTCCCTTCTTGAATTTTCCCCTTCTTGAAAATGGGGGTTATATTTCCCTTTTTCCAGTCATGGGTAACTTCACCTGACTGCCATGATTTTTCAAATATGATGGATAATGGCTTAAATTAAAAAAAAAAAAAAAAGGAAGCTCCAGATCCAACTCCCAGTGCCAAAATTCCATTTAATATAAAGTTCTCTAATTGAGGACATATCAGATATTAAACTGATACAAACAGATACTACACTTGATCTTAGCCAAAAGGCTGAGAAGCAATTCAATAGCTAAATAGCACTGGAATCAGTTCTTCTTGTGTTCTGCTTCTTTCTACTTTAATTTTTCTGAAAATTTTGTCTGATTAGCTGTTAAATAAGTAAATATATATTCAGCATGTAATGTTGGTAGCCAAACTTTTGCCACTTAGAGTGGTGTGAAACCAGTGTACTTTTTCCCAGGGTGATTACTTTAGGTACAGACCAAATGCAGTAAGGAAAAATAAAATGGTAGTTAAGTATAAATATTTTGTTTGTGAGTCTGTGTTCAATATTTGTGTGTGTGTATATATGTGTGTGAATATATATACACATAAAGAGCACTTTTTGGTAAAGTGGTGATTTATCTTTCACTAACTAGTACTATGAGTCCAAAGTATTTCTTTGATTGTGACCTTTAATATAATTTTTTTTCAATTTGCTGTTTAGCAGCTGACTTTAACATATTTCAAATAGAGCTATTTAATATAGCCCATGATGATTTTCAAACCTCATCATAATCTATTTTTCTAACAGGGTCACCTTTAACATATGATGAGATGAATGTATTTTATTAACATCTCTTCTTTTTATAAGGATGTCTGATTGAAAGCTGCAATTTTTTTTAATCCATGTGACTTAAAAAAATAACCATACACAAGTTTAAAAAATTAAAATATGGGTTATTCTTGGATAAAATTATGCTCTCTCTACCAGTCACTTTCTGTCTTTAATATTTTGTAATCTTCTGCTGGCAACTTATTCTAAAAGATGTCTGATCTGTCCTTAGACTTGGTGTATAGCTGCAGTTTGGTATAATATCTGTTGGTGCCACAAAGTGTATTCAGAATACTTTTTACATAGTTTAAATATACTGTGTGGGTTCTTCATTTTGGAGAGAAAAAAGAAAAAAGGAAAAAAGCAATTCAGAGTTCAGCTTCTGGGGGCTCTCTGTTCTTCTTCTCCCATTGTTTTATTTACAGAGATTTATGAAATCCCAACAGAATTATATTTCTTTGCATGTAGTGTTGCTACTTTGATATGAGGAGGAAGCAGTGGTTCTGCCCCTCATACACAAATTCATCAAAATATTTATTCAGTTTCAGGCTCAGTTATTTAATCTGTTAGACAACAGTAGGAATGCAGAAAACTGATCAACAGGACTTTTGTTTTGAACAAATTCTAAAAATGCAGATTTTTTTTTTTTAATTTAATCTGGAAGAAGGTTTATTTCTTGTCTGCTCTGACAGAAGGGTGATAGGTTTCTATCTCTTAGTCTAATTAATACCTTTAATCTTTTTTAATGGTTAAACAGTCTCCCTTTGGTTGCAAGGCAGAGAAGAGATAAAAGCACATAAGGCTGGAGGTTAATCCCTGTATTTTATTTCTTAATTTCTGCTATAGGGATTCCCTTTGCATCATTTCTGTTTACTTTTAAGTACTCTTCAGATGCTGGGAGAAAGAGGCAACAAAAAGTGTGGTTAGGGCTATCACTCAAGATTAGGCAGACATTAAACTTTTGTGAATTTAATAAAAAATAATTTTATTAAAGATGACCAAATGTGTTAATCTGGTTTTACTTCCATCTTTTTATTATAATGTCTTAGAAACAAGGGAAAAAACCCCAGACTTTTATGTGGACTGTTTTGTTCAGCTAGTGTTCTCTGCCTTGCGCTGTTCCAGCGCAAGTTGTATGTGAAATGCAGTAACACAAAAAATTACAGATAAAAATTATCAGGTGGCTGTCTTAGGAAAATACTGTATGTATTTTAGTTGATTTCTACCAGTGTCTTAAGTCATTTCTTCATAAAAAAAATCTAATGCCAATGTTATGTTAAGTATGAAATTAAAAAGGCACAGAACATTAATGTCATTTCATTTCGTCGTGCTCTCAGATGTATGAGGTGAGACTTTCATTTAAATAAATTCTGAGACAAAAATCTCATGTAGAATCATGGGAATTTTTACCGCTGATAGTGGAGTGGGTCAGGTGGTTGCCTTGTAGCTTCTGAAAAACAAAGTCAGCCAAGCTATTTTGTCTTGATAGCCTAAAATGTTATGTTGGAGATGGATACATTATATTTTAAAGGTTTTAAGTGCTATCACAAAAAGAGTTTGGTGATAAAAATCACTTTTTCTTGACTTTTCTATTTAGAATTTTCATGTGTTTAAGTGAAGTAGATCTTGGCATACTCTGCAAATAAGATAAGAAGCTCTGATGTAACCCTTCCAAAGAGATTATAAGATTTAGGATTTGGGCTCAGACATATACGTGTCCTCAAAAGAGACTTTAAAAAAAGAATTGGATTTGTTGTTTTTATTTTCCTTTGTATGCAAAGAAGTACTGTTTTCTTCATTAAGTGGTGCTTGTATGCTAGAGAATCTTGAATAAATGCCTTTCCATTTGTCATGAACTGATACAGACTGTATTCTGAAGAGGCATTCTTTAAGTAAAAGCACAAATGCAAAGACCACCAACTAGAGATGTAGAAGTTAGACAAAGGAAGATAGTACCTGGAGTTTTTATATGAGTTATATTTTTTTTTTACTTTGGCAAGTAGCCACGGCTTTATAATACAGAGTCATTCTGCTTTGTAGACAGCATACTTTTTTGGTGCCAGCTTGCAGCAAAAGTAGTAAGTACCAAATATTGCCATGGCCTCTGCAATATCAGTTTTCTGCACTGTAGTGTACAGTGTAGGGTACACTGTAGTGTACCCTGTAGGGTACAGCTAGCTCAGCCACACTCTTGTCTGCTGGGGCCCATGTACTCCTCATACACCCAGCAGCCATGGGGCTTGCAACAGGTGACTTTCCTCCCATTCACCTCTTCTCCCCCCAGCTTGGTGGTATGATGATTTCTGGCTGTGATACTTTGGGAGGCTGACATGATGATGTTGCTCCCATCTAGTTAGCAGCCATTCAGAATGGTCCACAGATTAATGGAGGTGGCTGGGAAAGAGGGAATTTTGGGTTCACATTGTGAATGCTGCTTAGATGAAATAGGCAAATATATATACAGTAGTGTTGTTGCTGGTACACAGGCAAAACAAGGTTTGAAAAGAAAAGTGGTGTCTTTTGGCTGACAATTTTGAAAAAAATATGCAAGTTTTTCTTCATGTTACATTTATAAAATATCTCTGAATGGTCTATATTATGGAGATTAATAAACTAAACACTGGATGTAAAGGCGAGGATTTTAGACGAATGTCCCTTAACCTATGAGGTACTTTTACAAGGGTCTTATAGAGTTGCTCTACTTTGGGCCCCTCAACTGCTTAAATTTTAAGTAGATGCATAATTGCTTTCTTGAAATGGATGTAAATTGTTGAGATCTGGCATGAATAAGCCCTCAGTTGTCAATTATTCTTGTGCATATGATTGACTGTGACTTAAAAACTGAAAAAAATTGTAATTAGTGGTGCCAAAAATTTTGCTTTTTTTTTTTTATGTTTGTTGATAGGATTACTGCTAGATGGGGGAAAATAGTAGAGTGATTGAAAATGTTCAGGTTCTTTTTCTCTGTTTCATAAAATTGATTTTCAGCTCTGCTCTAAATTATTCAAGCCAAACAGTAGTTAAGCCAATGGATATTAGTTTAAAATAGAACTAAGATTAGGGGTTTTCACTCCCCTTTCCTAGAATTTTTGGAAGAAGAAGTGGCACTTAAGCAGGAATAAGAAACACGTCCAAATAGCCAAAGGGACTCCAGTATTAGAGACTGTGTAGTTCTGGGTTAGCCCAGATTTGTGGAGCTCCCAATTTAAAACAAATCACATAGCAGCTGTGTTAATGCCATAGACACTGGAAGCCCTGGAGCTGCTGCATCTGAAAGCATCCTAGTCTAAAAGGGACCTTGAGGGCCAGGTTTTCCCAACAGCTACCTGTGGAAATCAGGAGGACCATGTTTGGAACCATGCTTGAGTCTCAGGTAGATTTATTGATGTTGCTTGCTGAAGTGCAAATCTTTACAAGGTTTGAAATGCCACTAATATGAAATGGGCTTTGGGGTTTTCTAATATGCTCTTCTTTGTAAAATTCCATGATGCAGTTTGTGATGAAAATGGTGAAAAAAAGCCTGAGAAACTCCTTAATTTGTAAGGCATTACTGTATTTTTCCCTGTGCTTAATCCACTTCCATTTGTTGTTAGCTTTTCTGTTGGAGCAATACAGTCTCTATGGCAAGGAATGCTGGAATGAGGCACCTAGTACACGAAATATCTAATTTATTATTGGGCCAGCTAGGTACTATAGTAATACAAATAATTAGCTTTAAGTGGCCTTTAATGAGGGATCTACAAGAGAAGAGGGTATTGCCTTTATAGACTAGTTCATTAGACATGAATGTATGTTAAAAAGTCCATTTTAATTTAGTGCTTCATAAATAATAGTGTCTTGTCATAGAAGAAAGAGGCAATGACTCTTTTCTCATACTGGCCTCACTTCATTATCAGGAAGATATTGGCAAATACAGGGAGCAGAAGAAGACCCATACAATGATTTCTAAATCAACCATGTCCTTAGAATTGCCTTCCCACATATTTTGTAAAGAATGGTTTGTTGATATTTCAAATACGTGCCTGGTCTCTGCCGCTGGGCAGAATCATGCCTGGGAGCTCTTACATGATTTCTGCAACTGATCATTTGAAGGAAAGATTTTTAACTCCACAATCTTAATAGAAATAAATTAAAAATTGAAAAGGGAACTGGAAAAATACTCTCAGTTATGGTGATAGGCTGGAAGACCTAAAGATGTATAATTTAACTGCAAGATGATACTAGTCTGCAATATTCAGAGGGTCAGCCCTTCACAAGAAATTATTTAGTGCACTAGAATTAGGTGTAATGGCCTAAAATATGGTTTGAATATGTGTAAAACTTCCTCACTTGTAAGTCTATTATTCTTTGGAATAATCACAAGAGAAATGGTACAAGCCAATGACTCAATAATTAAATATTACAGTGGAAAACTTGTTATAGGAAATGATTCTGCCTCAGTCTGAGAATAAAGCAGTTACCTAATAAG